TGAACCTGGATTGGCCCACCTAGGCCAGGTGAATTCAATTCAGCCAATGGGGTCGATCAGGGGTCGTCCACCACGCCTCCTGGTGGAATCCTTGAAAAGGCAGGAGCCCAGAGTCAAGCGGGACACTTTTGCGTGACACCAAGCAGCTCCCAGGCAGGCTGCATGTTGGGGAGGAGTCCTATGGGTGCCTGTGTAAACCTGAAACTTCTACTAACTCTTATAAAACTCACTTGGATCACAAACCAGGCTTCATCATGAATTCTTTCTCACGCAGAGCCAAGGACCGAGGTGTGTCTAGCTCCAGAGAGATCTAACAGCATGAGCCAAAGTAACTTGAGCAAGCACGAACAGTACTGCCAGTTGTTTCTAATCCTAAGGAGTCAGGAAGCCCCCAAACGGAAAGCCAGACCGTCCTGACAGATTGACCCATTGGTCAACCTATCTGTCCAACGTCTGACCTCTTGCCCCTTCTCGCAGCCACATGGAGAAGACATGGAGAGAGAGGACAAGGCCTGTCACTTGCAAAGGACTCCCCTCCACTGCCTGCACCTTTCCCAGAGGCCCGCTGTGAGTGGGGAAAGATGATAAGAGTTCAACGTGTCTTACACAACTTGTGGAGTCCACATGCCCAACTGTAATGTTGGCGTACTCCATTAGAAGCAGGCAAGGGAGCTACAAACGAAGGATACGTACAGGTGTGTAAGTGCAGTATAACGACCTTTCCCCAAGGAAAGTGTCTTTCTGGTTAAAAAAAACAACGAACAAACAGGTTACTGGTGAGAAGGAGGGCTGGGGGGAAAGATCAGGCTTTTCTAACTAATGGAATGAGTCAGAATTGGCTCAAGGCTAGTCGATGAGTGAGGAAACTTAATATTTACTACCTGCGCAAACCCTGTAAGGGCTAAGGCTTTAAAAAATTAAACCTATCCTTTCTTTTCTACTCTCCATTCCTGAAATAGTCTTTAATGACATTTATTTTCTTGCCCCCAATGAGCTATCCGTTCAAGAGCAGTGGTAACTCTGTGTAATTCTTGCCTTCCATGAAGCAAAGCCAGGTTCACGTCCTGGACAACGCGCTCATGCACAGCCAACACTCACCTTGGAGGTTTGCATGTCGTTATTATGTGTGGGATACAGAAAGATTTCTCCCAAGTTGTCGCCCCCAAATAGATGCCAAACCTAGCTGCTTGCTACACATGGCAAATGACTACACTTGGAAGTCACTGAAAGCGGGTTAGAGATTATTCTCCCTAAGAGTTATCAGTCGTCTAGTGCAATCAGACTGGATAGTCTGCCCCACCTTAAGGAGGGCCCACTCCCTTCTGATAAGGGTAGTAGTAGATGATTTCCCTGAAGAAGAGCCCAGGGAAGTCAAGCCCATTCAAGGGTGACCAAGGTTAGGCCGCCATCATAAACCTAGGGTTCGCCCTTCTTGTCACATGTATACCCCTACTCCCTCCCCTTCCTATTACAGCCCTAGCTTATCCCCTTCCTGTTACACTTATGCCCATTGTATATCCCCCTCCTATTGCTTGTATTGCCTATGTTACAATCCCTTCCTGTCACACATGTCATCTGTAACGAGGAGGCATGTACGCCTAAAAAGAGATATAAGCCTTGGTTAGCAATAAATCGCTCTCCTTCGCCTTCTCACTCCCTCCTGCAATTACCACGTTCCACAGCATCACGTAGACCACCAAGCGGGGCTGAGATGAGCTTGCTATCATGAAATGTGTCTGACTTCTTTATTTTACTCTTCCCTATTATTCTCCATGACTTTATTATACTCTTTATATATCTTAACTGTGCAATTGCGCTTACTGAACCCGTGATTAGTGGGGGGGGGGGTGGCTACCCCCACAATTATGGGGTAGAGATATCAGTGGGGATTCCCAAAATTAGCCAATGAAAACCCTCTGGCTCCCAGTGGCAGCATGCCCAGCCAATCACAGGACGGCAGCGGAGCAGACAGCATGCTGTTCCATCCCATCGTGCACGAGGTAGCTGTGAATTGGAGTGGACCTGATTGCTGCTAACAACCCCCACCAAGCCCAGTCAATTTGGCTTTCTCAGCATGAGTCAGACTTTCACTCTCATCTCCATCCTCCCAAACATCCTTCCAGTTCAAGACTTCATGATCCTCGCTTAGACTAATACACAAGCCTGTGGGTGGGCTCTGGCCCCTTTAGATCCATCTTTCACATGGTGGCTGGAGGACTTGAGCTGGACATTCAAGATGACCTTGAACCCTCCCTGTTTAAACTCAGCCCTGCCCAACACTTACAGAAAGATGCCCAAGTTCTTCAATGTGGTACAGGAATTTCTTCAGGAACCCCGGTTTTCCGCCTGGGCACCATCAACTCGCTTCTTGAAGAGTGTGTGGCTGTGTGCGGTATTTCTGTACGTCTTAATATCTAGGCAGTGCTACCAGCATTTAGTGGTCAGGAGGTGGAGATACTAAACGTCCCGCAGCACCAAAGACAGCCATACAAGGAAGCACTGTCTTACTGAAAGGCCCCTCCAAACGCTGTCTTGCCATGGAGAAAATGCCCGTAATGGCTCTGCCTATTTCTCCTGCCTTCCAGCTCATGGCGCATAATGAACTACAACGCCACAAAATTCCTGCTCTCCAACACATGTCTCCTTTTGCCTTTTTATCTTAAACCTTGATTTTGTGTTTTGATTTTTTTTTCCTGATAACTGGAATGGATGTCTTCACCTTAGTGAGGCATCTTTTAAGATTTAGTTCAGCCTGGAAACACAGGGAATCCAGGGCAGATAACCCCCTCAGGACCAATAATGAGAGTAGCAATACCAGGAGGGTAAGGATAATGTGGGGGGGGGGGGACCGATTACAAGAATCTACATATAACCCCCTCCCTCGGGGATGTACAACAGAAAAGTGGGTGAAGGGAGACATCGGACAGTGTAAGACATGACAGAAAATAATAATAATTTATAAATTATCAAGGGTTCGTGAGGGAGGGGAGAGCAGGGGGGGAGGGGAATAAATGAGCTGATACCAAGGGCTCAAGTAGAAACAAAATGTTTTGAGAATGATGATGGCAACAAATGTACAAATGTGCTTGACACAGTGGATGTATGTATGGATTGTGATAAGAGTTGTATGAGCCCCCAATAAAATGATTTTTTTTAAAAAGATTTAACTCAGCAACTAGGGTCTTAAAAGTTTGTGAGTGTAACTATTGGCCTCCCCTATGCAGATGAAGAGGGAAAAGGGGATGTAAAACCAATGGACCTAATGGACCATGCAAACACTAGTTTCCCAAATCAGAAGAACTAGACGTTACTTGACATCCATGTTAGGCCAGGTTGACTAGTGAAACAAATCCAATGATGCTCACGTGTGTATAAGAGAGAGCTTTATATCAAGAGGTAATTATCTCTCAATAAAACATCCCAGCCCAATCCAACTCCAGTCCCGAAGTTTCATTCCCTCTTCAGACTCATTCAGTCGCTGTGCAGCGATAGAGACTGCAGGGATGCCACAGCCCATGGGTGCACTCATGTGGATCCAATGTCAGTTAGAAGCATCCCAGGGCTCCTGCACTTCTCAGGGTCAGCAAGCAGGAAGGTCAAGGCAGAGAGAGAGGGAGGCCATGCCCACAAGGAGGCACCATCAGGCTGTGACCTGACTGACAGATTGACTACCACCCCTACCACTTTACGTATCAAGTTAACATAAAGTGATATAACTACCACCTTATCCTACCAACTGCTCTGCCTTCTGTCGCATAGAGAAAAATGTGGAAACAAACTCAAGATCATAAAAGAGACCAGGCTTACCGGCCAGACAGAAATAAGTGAGACCCCTAAAATGATGATTCCCCTTAGCTATCCTTCAGGTGTGGGACTGAATTTACTCTTCTGTTAGAATAATCAACCATTTATAATAATAATTTTTGAAAAGGCGTCACTTACCCAAGAACAGAGTTCAGAGGGTTAGGAAAGATAGGGGGATGGAGACAGGAAACAGAAGGAAGTGCTGCCAGTGAGGGCCCACTGAGGGGATGATTACGGGTGAGGGGACATGCGCACCAGTGGTTGGCTGTAAAATGGAGGATCTGCACTGCAAACTTTCACCTAATTCACAATAAAACGTGTTCAAAAACAGATGCGTTAGCTCAGGTGCTACCTCAGCCAAGAAGTGTTTTCACACAGAGACACACAACCAGCCTGGTGTTGTGTTTTCAAGGGTTGCGTTTTTCTTTCTAGTGATGTCTCTCTTTCCAGTAAGGAGCTCTGGTGGCATTACGGCCTGCCAACCAAGATCAGAGATCCTCGGTGGCTCTGTGGGAGGATGATGCGGTTGTCTGCTCCTGTAAGGAAGTCCAGCCTCAGAACCTCTGTACAGGGCTCGCTATGGTTCAGAATCAACTCGATAGCAGTAGGTGTTGTTTGTTTAGTTTTTGTCAGGGGTGGAGGAGGAGTTTCAGGCCATCATGCTTCCTGATTTGGAACTATCCGATGCACGCCACACTTCTTTATGATACTGAGTTTCTCCTTCACCAAACTGAGGTCTTTCAGAGCAGAAATGGTATGAAACTCAATACCACTTCTGTAGATAGAAAAATGTAAGGGATGGATGATTGTATGCGATCAAGGGGCTTTTCAGAAGGTGAGGTACCCACAATGAAATAAGATATATAATCATTGTTTTGTAGCTAAGATAATATTTGAGATCACAGTTTCCTAACAGGTCATCTGCCTTTCAGTCCCACATCACACTCTGTACAGGCCACTCTAAGGCCACATCGTCTTTCACTGAAGCTACAAGTGAAGAGGGGCCAGGTTCACTCTCTGTTCTCGGTGGTGAGACAACCTCGAAAAGGAGAGAGGTAATGGTTGCCCAACTTGACTAACCTAATCACTGTTACTGAATTTCCTGTCTTAAAAAATGTAGAACTGGCAAATAGCTCTGTTTTTACCATGTTTAAGAACAAACTTCCAGACAGCACCCTGCATGGCGTTCCACTTACCCATGTTGAGGGTTGTGGGTCCCGAGGAGCGATTGGCCAGGCGCTTCGGTTGGGGAACTCTGTGTCCAGTTGGCTCAAGAATTCAGCAGTTTTGCTACAGGAACACAAATAGGTGTTAGTGCTTTCCTTAAAAAGATACCCATCGTTATTATGTCTGTGGACAATAGCCTAGACTTTTCTTGAGTGATGACTTAAAGCGTCCAACTTAGAACACAAGGGTATTAGGTTAAGAACATTGTCTCAAAGAAAATCAGACCTCAGGCTAGTATTGCCAGGAGGCATTCTTGAGGAAGATTAAGTTTGAGAAACAGGACTCGACATTCGTGATACGCAAACCTGTGATTTCCACTCTGTGTTACTGATATGGAGATACGTTTGATTCCACAATCCAGGGTCCTCATTTCCTGTCTGAACATTTGCAGCTCAACACCCGGACATCACGTGAAGCTGTGGAACCTTCACCCACAGCATCTCACCCCATGTCAGTCTCACATGAAGCCCCACTGCACCTCTAGGAGTATGATTGCTTGTGACCTCATTTCCCATGTGGTTTTGACTCATCAACACTCTGGTCCAGCAGCTCATCATCATTCGAGGCTCCCGTGATCTTGGGGATTCTGACAGCAGAATTGGAGTCTCTCTTCAGACACACACACACACACACACACACACACACACACACACACACATTTGCATTTGCCTTAAGGGACGTGCTGGGCTTCCTTCCATAAAGAATAAGAAGCTGCTGGCTTGGTCTGCATTTCTGAGATGTTCTTTTACCTTTGAAAGGCAGGCCTAGAGTTGGCCTCAGTTTCAATAAGAAGCTCATTTTCCCCTTAAAATTTCAAACCATCAACCCCCTTTCCCCTCTCATCTACACCAAGCATGCTGTCAGCGTTGTGTGAAACCACTTCGACTCATCGCACTGCCGCAGGACGTCTCCTGGGCTGTAGTCTGTACAGAGGCAGATTCCCAGACCTTTCCTCGCCAAGGCCTGATTTAGTCGGCATCGGTGGATGGACCCAGGACTGACAGAGGCTGCAACCACGGGCTTAAACATAACAACCAGTGGGAGGATGGCACACAACCAGGCAATGCTTATTCTGTGGTCCAGACGGTCACTATGAGGAGGAACCGAATAACCACCACCACCACCTTCTGCAGCCTGCACCCCATCTGCCTCCTGCATCCTTCTACCTCTTCACTCTCTCCTCTTTTCAGCTTAATGTTAAGATTCCATGTATCCAGCACTGTAGGACATAATCATCCAAAGAAACAACAACACAAAAAGTCCTGGGAAAAAAATAAATGGCATCCAGTAAACAAATAAATAGTATCAAAACAAAGAAGTAGAAATTAAATACGAAATGCCAGCATCACTTCAAATAATTACTTAGGGAGAAGACAGCACAGTACTTGAACAAGGTCAGGAACTTGAGCTGTTAAGGGAAGGGCTAAAAGCTACACGACGCATATAACCCAGACATCAGAAGACTTTGGCGGTTGAGACAGGCAGCAAGTCCATTTGTCTGGGCTTGCTTATCTTGCCCAGAGTAGACAAGGAGACTAATGAAGTCGCAGAGCCTGGAAGCTGCCCCACTGCTGGGGTCTTTATGAAGTCATCTGTCAAAAGTGTGAAAGGAAGAGGGTTGCTGGAAGTTTGGGTGAGATTTCTTAATATCCTCAGCTGAGCCCATGTCTGGAGGGAAAGCAATGAGAAAGAAACACCGTGTGATAAGCCCAGAAGAAACTTCAGGCCATGAACCTGAAGGCACTCCCCCCGGTGCATCATGACCGCTACTGCTTACCTGCCTGTGCCATGTGCAAACATGGCTGGGCGGCCAGCCACCATGGTGACCTTCGTGTCAATCACCACTCCTTACCCATGCCATGAGAGTGAAGCCTGGTGGTTGAGCCACAGGACTTCCAGAGGGATACAAGCAGGGCCTTGTTGGGAATGGAGAGTTCTCTGAGTGATCAACTCCACTTGTGTAAGTGGAACTCTATTTCCCCTAAAGCAAGGTTTCTCAAAGGGGGTGAAACTGCCCCCTGGGGACCTAGAATGATCCAGGGGGCCTGCAAAAGCAGATGTTGTTATTGTTAGGTACCGTTGACTCAGTTCTGACCTACAGCGACCCTTCGGACAACAGAAATAAACACTTCCCAGTCCTACACCATCTTCACAATTATTCCTGTGTTTAAGCCCATTGGTGCAGCCACTCAATCCATCGTGTAGAGTATCTTCCTCATTTTTGCTGCCCCTCTACTTTACCAAGCATGGTGTCCTTTTCTAAGAACTGGTCTCTCCTGATCATGTGTCCAAAATACAGGAGATGAAGTCTCTCCACCCTTGCTTCTAAGGAGCATCCTAGCTGAACTTCTTCCAAGACAGGTTTGTTATTGCACAAGCAATACTTTATCATAGCATATCGACTACTTAACTCAACTAGACTAAGAATTCTGGACTTCACAAGATTTTAATTGCCAGTAGGTGCTGAGGAATTATTTTCCCCTTGAAAAGGGGATGACAAGCCAAATAAGTTTGGGAAACCTATGTCCTAAAGTCTATGTTAAAATCCTAACCCCTATATCAATGTCTAGGTCCCTTGGAGATATAAAGAGTTTATACTTGGCTGTTAACTGGGTGGTTCAAAACCATTCAGCAGTACTATGGAAGAAAGGCCTGGGGACCTGTTTCAGTAAAGAGCACAACTGAGAAAACCCTCTGAAACATTTCTACACTGTAGCACACCTGGTCCACATGAGCAGGAGTAAACTCGATGACAATGACTTTGAATGGGCTACATATAAGCATTACCCTGTTTGGAAATAGGGTCCTTCTTTTGTTATGCTAATGATGCCATGCAGTGCAAGGTGGGTTCTAACTCAGCAGTTGTGAGTTTTAAAAAAAAGACCAGAAGAGTCACACACAAACATAGGAGAAAGAAACCGTAGGAAGATACACACATGGCTGATCACTCTACAAGCCCAGTAACACCAAGGGTTGACAGCTACCAGAAGATGAAATTGGCAACAGGGGCCTTCTCTTAAATCCCTATCCTGAATTTGGACTTTAGCGTCCTGAACTGTGAGAATGTAAATTTCTGTTCTTTAAAGCCACTAATATATGGCATTTTATTATTGTTATTGTCGCAGTCCTATGTAAGTCATAAATTAAAAAATAAGCCAAGGCCCAAGTTGTCTGACTGTATTTTCTATTTTTTTCCCCAACTATTAACCCAGTATCTGGTATGAAACAGAAATTTAATACACTGGAAGGACTGAATTGGTATCGCTGTAAGTAATTATGGTGATCACTTATAAAATAAGACACAGGCTGCCTTTGAGAGGCAAAACAAGTTTCCTCCTGGGGAAGGAAACTAGACAAAGCACCCTAGACTCTAGGACTACGAGTGATGTTTCCCCTTAGATTGTCTTGCTGTTTATCACCACAGTGTCTTGCTAGCAATTGGGGTGGGTATGGAGGCTCTTCCGCTTTGTCATTCTGGCCCAGGGACAAAGAAAGGACTCCTCCCTTTATTCTCTATAGAGTTAATGATGAACCAACAACAACTTAGACTGATAAGAGTTTACACATGTTCATCTTATGATCTGAAGGGTCCCTCATGATTGATCTTATGGCTGAGTTCCTATTGGTTTATCCTAAAAGATCTCTTCAGTATAACCTCCCTTCAACTTAGCAAAATAGTGGCAGAGGTTGATAAATATATGTTCATCAACATTCACATAATCCTCTTCTTCCTGGTCATACAATTTGACTACATGTCCCTTGCAGTGGTCATGTGATTGGGTCTTAGCCAATGAAATGTGAGAGAACGTAAGACACACACCCTTCTAGGACTAGCTTATAAACTTCCCAAGCATGCACTTCTATAGCTTTTTCTCTTTTAATTGAGTGGAGTGGAGACAGGTCCCAGGGAAAGCTTGGAAGCAATGCATTGAACGTGGTAAAGCTGTCATCAGGTTTGATCCTTGAATAGTTGAGTAGAAGAGAGTCTCCACTCAACCCATTTACTTGTGACTTATCTGACTCCATGGCAGTGAGCTTGAGCTATACGAGTAAGGGAGGGGGTTGCATAGTGCATAAGCTAGTATATATTTTTGGATCTATCTATTACAGCAAATTAAACCTACTGCCATTAAGTTGATTTCAACTCATTGTAACCCATATAGGTTTTCTAAGGCTTAAGTCTTTATAAGAGCAGAAAGTCTCCTCTTTCTCCAATACAGCAGTGGTGGATTCAAAATGCTGACTGACCATGAGGTTAGCAGCCCAATGTGTAACCAACCACACCACCATGGAGCCTTATTACAGCCATTGCCTCATTCTAAATAATATGGCTGCAACATTGGGTCCAAACTAAGAACCATAGTGAGGATGGTGCAGGACCGGGCAGTGTTTTGTCCTGCTGTACACAGGGTCACTATGAGTTGGTCATTATGTGTACACAGGGTCACTGGGAGTCATGACTCAATGGCATCTAACAACAGTAAGAATATAGAAGAAAAGATGTGAAAGGAAGCAGTCACGGTTACAAAGGTAGAAAACAACAACACATAATAACAACATGATACATACAAGGGAATTATTTCTCAGTCTAGGTGATCAATTCTTAAAGTAGATCAGAAGCAGCCCTGAAGAGATGAGAAAGAATGAGCAAACAGATTATCAAGAATTAAGTTGAGATTCTTAACCATTGTCAAACCTTGGACATTGGAAAAAATTTGGGAGATAGGGCGAAGCAATTCATGCTTGACGGCTCCTGTCAAGCCCAAGAGCATACAGGCGTGTACGAATCTCTCCCAAGACCATGCAAATCTGGTCAAGAGGTAGGGTGAGATGTCTGGTGGATAAATTGCATTGTTAGAAATCAGGAAGGGGAAAAAAAAGATATGACTCATTCTACTGAAATAGGATGGTATTTTAAATTCTGTTTCATGGCGATCACCAAAATAAAAAATTTTAAAAGACTCTTTTGGAAGGATAAACAATATTGGAAAAAACAGATAGTGAATAGGGTGTATCTGCCAGTTCATTTCATAACCCAGAATTGCAAAGGTTAAATTTTTGTA